TTTCCGAAGACTTCTCCATGGTCATGTGGCTGGCATGACTAAATGCCAAAGGTGCATGGAACACTGTTATCTTCCCACCAAAGTGGTCCCTATTTTTCTACTTGCATTTTTTACATGCTTTTGAACTGGTAGGTTGGCAGAAGCTGGGACAGGTAACGGGAGCTCACCCCGTTACACGGCACTAGGGATTCGAACCGCTGAACTGCCGACCTTTCGATCGACAAGCTCAGTGTCTTAGCCACTGAGCCACCGCATCCCTATAGATCTATACTAGTCTCCCTTTATTTCTTTGTTGGTAAAAGATAAAATTTAACATAAGCCAAAGGCATCTATCTGGAAATGTCCATAGTAGATAGTAGGCGCTGAGGTTGATTTGTGAATATTCAAGGCAACTGAGTTGCTCCTATGGAGTGGCCTTTCAGGAAGTTGACAATGATGGACTCAAATTTTACAAGCCTGCTATAAAGCCTGTAATGCTTGACATGCACGTTCAGTGTTCCTCCATTGCCTTTACAGCTGTTGTTAGCCATTGCCATTGGGATTCCATTTGTGTCTCTTTGTTTCCATAAGCCAGGGCCATAAATCTATACCCTGATTTTCTTGTTTATTTCACTCATTTGAAAGATACGATTGCTGGCTGGGGAAGGAGCTAAAGCAGAAACTGGGCTGCTCTGTAGATGAATTTTCATGCTCTTCTTGACCAAAGAATAGCAATTTTGTATAATAGGTTTGCTGGAGACAAAGGTTAAGCTTTTACAGAATGAGATGATCATTTTTAGAATGTGGATGAAAAGCCATTCACAGAGCTACTGAGGCTGATTTTTTTTCCTGGAAGAGAAGCCTGAAAAAGACAAGCATTCTCATTCCTGGTTCCTATGCGAAATAAAATCTACATTTTATATTGAAGTGTACATCCAATTTGGAATTATGACAACATTTCTTGATGTAAAGCATGAATGAGTGACTGTGGCTTCAAAGCCAAGTATTGAAAACCTGTGGCTCATTAAGCTGCTGGATATCCCTACTTTCTTTCCTCATTGGCTGAGGGGGAACTCTGCCCACTTTTCCCATTGGCCAATCAATTGGGATAAACAGCAGGTTGGCAGGAATTGCATTGCTGGTTCCTCCCTGTTATCATCGGAAGGAAACCAAGTAATTTCTTCCCAACTGATTGGTTGACAGAGAGGGACAAACCTTGTGGATCTTCACTATGAGTGTCATTAGTAATCTATGAGTGATAATAGATTTTAAGAAGAGGCAAGGAAGCTTTTCCTCTGTTTTCCACATCAGGGTTCACATTCGACATCAGCAAGAGGGAGAAGAACCATACGAGCAGATTCAAAGGGATGCACAAGTATACGTATATTTTAACGAGGAAGTATTCAAAGTATTCAACTTGCCTAAATGTGAGGAATATTTGTATACCAAAGAGATAGTTGAACATGGTGCGCAAGAACTGGAGCATTTAGATTAGACTTTAGTCACTAGAGGTCATGATTCTCAACAGAACCATTTCCATGCAGGAAATGGTTTCTCAGTAGTTCTCTACGGAATTATGTATCACATTTTGATAAGTTGTTTTTCCATTGCTGCCCAAGTCACAAAAAGGCTGCCTCTGTGTTTATATTCCTTAAATGTATAATTTGACGTGCTCCCTCTGCTTTCTCTTAAATTGGCTCATTCATTCTTTAAGATTACTTTGTTGCTTTGGGTATTCTGCAGTTTTTACCTGTAGTGAGTCTTAATAACATTTATTACAATTTGAATGTAATATTCCCGTGAACAGCAGAAGCAGAGTACAGAAAAATGGCTTATATAAAATAAGAAGGAGTTCTTTTCGGCTCAGTTCCATCCTGTCAGTAGAAAATCCAACCTTCTTGGAAACAAAGATATGACAAAAAATAATAATAATAATAACAAGCAATCTACAAGGCTGAACAGCCATCAGGTACACTGTGTGGGAAAAGGAGGCAGAGGATTGTACATTAATATAACTTTTGCAAGACCCTTTGCACTTACAGTCAAACATTTTGGAAGAATTTTGACTATTAAATGCAGGTAGGAAACAGGACTAACTTGAACAGGTGTGCTTCATTCTCTTCACTTCACAATATTTTCACAGGTATTCTAGGTTATCTAGGACTTGGACTGATTACAATAAAGCTATGGGATCAAATAAACCAGTCTCCCGATCTGTGCTAGACATTATCTATAACCAACTATCAAAGTTTCATATTTAAGACAAATTACCACAATGACATGCCAGCGTCATTGCTTTGAATTGTTCTAAAGCAATACAGAAGGGATGCAGTGGCTCAGTGGCTAAGACGCTGAGCTTGTCGATCGATAGGTCGGCAATTCAGCAGTTCGAAACCCTAGTGCTGTGTAATGGAGTGAGCTCCCGTTACTTGTCCCAGCTTCTGCCAACCTAGCAGTTCGAAAGCACATAAAAAATGCAAGTAGAAAAATAGGGACCACCTTTGGTGGGAAGGTAACAGTGTTCCGTGCGCCTTTGGCGTTTAGTCATGCCAGCCACATGACCACAGAGATGTCTTTGGACAGTGCTGGCTCTTTGGCTTTGAAATGGAGATGAGCACCGCCCCCTAGAGTCGGGAACAACTAGCACATATGTGCGAGGGGAACCTTTATCTTTAGTTTACCTTTAAAGCAATACTATATGGAAAACCTATTTGTACACTTTCCATCTTTCCATCTTTTTTCCTGCAGCAAATGATTGCAATTTAAAAAGGCTCACCTAATCCATGTTTAATTATATCCAATCTCAAAATCCTATCAGGATTTTTAAGAAGGTATTTCTATCCTGTTGGAAGAATAGACATGCGCACAGTCCTAATAGACTGAGATAAATCTAGTGAAGGAATTGATTGGACAATATAAGCATTGTATCACTTTTTCATCCTAAAGAAACAGCACCATCTGGGTATAGCAGTCTCCGTTCTGCTTTATTGAATGCTAGAGTTGTTTCTTTGATTTTTGAACTAAGATATGCCATTGTACAGATGCCAAATGTTTGATCCATTTATTTTACATGCTAGATTCATGTTTCACTTTTCTTCAAAGTCCTTTCCTCCAAATAATATACATTAAGGAGTCCTTGGTGCACTCTCAATTTGGTTGTTTTCTTGCAGATTCATTACCCATAGGTAACATTACCAGTGCTTGAAGGGAGTGGGGTTTGCTCTTTGTTTATACAGTATATATGGGGCTAGTCCTGGTCAATGTTGGTGGGAATGTTCTTGGTGGTCCCTTGATGAGGCTGTTTATTGTTAGCATGTTTGAGTTGGTAGTTCCTTAATTAGGGTATTGTTTGCTTGTTGACTGTTAGCCTAATATTAATCTTGATGTTAATCTCTGCTTATCTGGGTATTGATTGCTGGCAAAGAGGGATTTCGGTCTTTTTGTTTCCTTTCTGGCTTTTTCTGACTGTCTCTTTTGAATGGTGTGTAGATGTTGTTTATCTCTATGGACCTAAAAGTAAACAACAGCCTAATCAAGGAACCACCAAGAACACTCCCGCCAACACTGACAAGGCAAGCCACTTGTATCTAAACAGAGAGCAAACCTCCCTCTCTTCTAGCACTGATGATGTTACCTAGCTGGGTAATGAAATGTCTGCAAGAAAACAACCAAGCTCAGAGGGCACCAACGACCCCGCAATTCAACCCTCAGCTACAAATATACTCTTCTATCAGTATAGATTATACTTTTATGATTTCAACAGCTCTATGGAGTTAGTTGGACCAAGAGACCATGACTGTCCTAAAATCATACTATAAACCTCAGGCCTGATTGGAGATTTAAACTTGAGTCTCCCTGACCCACTCCTAGCTCTCTTTCCAATTGTTCTAATCAAGTTGTTGCAAATATTTGAGTCGTGGCTGGTCAAAGCAGTATTCTGCCCAAGATAAAAGCAGCTCCTGATTCCTTCTCTTCCTCTTCCTGGCTTGCCCATCAAAATTTTATAGCAATAAAGTGGTTCTTCAGGCCATTTTGGTTTTCAGGACTGTGAGAGACCCTACTTCATACAGTGAAGTTTTCTGAGTAAAAATGATCCCGGAGAACACTCAATTACTGATGCTTTTGGCAAAAGCAGGAAATGTTGCTTTAAAGGTGAAATTAATTTAAAATCCAAAATTTCGATTATATGCTTAAACTACACATCCCATTATTTATTTGATAATTTCTACAGTGTGTTTCCTCCTACAGGAACCCAAACAAGTACTAATATATTATGATTCCATTTTCCTGATTAATTTCAATTATTGTAGTGGAAGACATTGTAAGGAACTCTGCTGTCACACCCAAAGGAAATTTAGGACCAGGGGTGGGTTTCACTTACCTTTACCACCAGTTCACCACATGCGTGCAGTCGTGCATGCACCCGGCTTTCTGCACATGTGCTTTGCTCACTCGTGTGCCTTTTGTGCATACGCCCGGTCTTGAAAACGTGCCTAAATAGCATGACTTGGAGCCGGGGCGGGTGGGTGGGTGTGCAGGCCCACCCGCAATCTCCGCTACCAGTTCAGGCGAACTGATCCGAACCGGCTGAATACCATCTCTGTTTAGGACCATCAATCCATTAGTAGTAAAGACTATAATTAGCAGTATTTGTTGCAGCCGAGAAAATGGTGATTGCAATGCAACACATTTGCTGGTGTGCAGTAGGTGTAACTGTAGAGCAAGGGCATCAAATTCCCAGCCTGCGGGCCAGATACGTCATGTGCTGGCCATGCCCACCCCCATTTTGGTGAAGAAGAAAAAAAGTTGCAATACATCACGTGATGACAAGGTGTCATTGCGAGTTTGACATTCCTGCTGTAGAGGGAGGTGGCCACATCTGTGCTGTAGTAAGAGCAGCGATATCCAACTAGTGATGGATGGGATATGTAATTTGCCATCCTTTCTGATTCGCTGGGAGATTCACATGACTGGCTGATAGTTGAGCTTTGAACTTAAGAGTTGGCACACACAGATGAAAGTATGTTCTGTAACTGAGTACCACAATGTTTCAAGACATGGCTGGAAACTGCAGGACTGTTTATTTGAACAACTGAAATCAGAGGGTGTTCTGGGAGGCTAAAAAAAAAAAAAAAGTGAGGTCACAGGTTGCTCATGCCTATTTGTATGCTATAACTCTAATGACCCCTATGGAAGGAATTGTATTCTGAGCCAATCACAACATCATCCAAGTGTCCAGCTCAAGTTTGCATATTGCAGTGATCCAGTGGTAAAATCTAAAATTTGTTACTACCGGTTCTGTGGGCGTGGCTTGGTGGTGGTGGGGTAATGTGACTGGGTGGGCGTGGCCAATTTTTAAAAAACTTTTAAAACCATGTTTTCTACAACCTCTTCAGTGAAGAGGTTGTAAAAAATGCTTTCAAAAGGCTCTGACGATCCCAGCTGAGTTACCTGATCGTCAGAGGCTTTCTGCCGATCAGGCAACTTAGCTTGGATCATCAGAGGCATTTAAAAGAAAAAAAGCCTCTGCCAATCAGGCAACTCAGCTGGGATCCTCAGAGGCTTTTAAAAGCATTTTTTCTACAACCTCTGAAGAATGCTTTTAAAAGCCTTTGAGGATCCCAGCTGAGCCGTGCGATCATCAGAGGCTTTTTTTTTACTTTTAAAAGCATTTTTTCAGCCGAAGAGGTTGTAGAAAAAATGCTTTTAAAAGTAAAAAAAAAAGCCTCTGATGATTGTGCGGCTGAGCTGGGTATGGGGGTGGGGTGGGGCAGGGATTTTTGCTACCAGTTCTCCGAACCACCCACCTCCATTGCTACCGGATCGGGTGATCCGGTCTGAACCGGGAGCATTTCACCCCTGCACTGATTGCAAAGTACAGGAAAACGTTCCATTTTTCTACTTTTCCTTACCGCTATCAAACCAGCTTGAATGTTTCCAAATTCAGAGAAAATAAAACTCCTTTCTTCTGTGTGATTCCATCCACTCTCTTCTACCTTCTTCCCTTCGGAAATAAATAAGCTATCTATCTTTAAGATGCGCCTTTCCCCCATTAGTGCCATTTTACATCCTTTCCACCTTCTGCTGCTGTACAAAGAGGCTTCAAAAACACTAAACAAAACCGCAGGCAACATTGGCAATCCAGCTGAAACCACAGCAAGAAGAATCAGTGTTCTTTTTTGGCTGAAATGGCTTCAGTATGAGCAGAACATTACCGATTGTGACGCTTAAGGGGCTTAGTCTTATTCTTTTTGAGAGGAAGATGGAGAGGGAGGGAGGAAAGATAGCAATTACTTCTCTCGTGTCCAGTACCATCCCGGCCGAATGAAGACAAATAGCATTGGGAGACTCCGTTTGTTTCATTTGTAATTGTGTGTGCACATAAATTTTCTTAGGAGACAAGATCCATGTAATTGTGCTGGGCAGGTGAGATGAAGTGTGGATTTAGAGAATCAGATTCCTCCGCAGTTCCAGACCAGCAAGAAAGAATGAACAACAACAACAACAACAACAACAACAACAACAACAACAAATTGGCTGGGGTTGGACAGCCTGACTGAAATAAAAGAAGTTTGCTTTTGCATGGATAGAATAATAAGTCTTTTTAAAGAACCTGGATACTTGGAAAGTAATTAGAGAAGAAAATGTGTTAGGCCTCTACTACTAAAACAGAAAATAAACAGGCTAGTTTTTTTCATCCTGTCTGATTCGGCCTCTTTAGGCCTTCTTGGAAAATGAAAAGGGTTGCAGCTCAGAGCTAGGTCTGAAAAGGTGGCCAGCTGCTCACCCACCTCAAGACAAAAGTATGGAACACCCTGTGCACCTATAAGCAATACCACAGAACAAGCTCACCAGTTTACCTTCTTGTAAAAAAGGGGTTCATCACAGCAACTATTTTATGAAAAGGAAAAAAATACTGTTACGGTGCTTTTGATATACCCGTATATACTCGAGTATAAGCCGACCCGAATATAAGCCGAGGCACCTAATTTTACCACAAAAAAATTGGGAAAACTTATTGACCTGAGTATAAGCCTAGGGCAGGAAATGCAGCAGCTACTGGTAAATTTCAAAAATAAAATATAGCAGACTAAGTACTGTAAATAAACGTACTGTACATCCAAGACCAGAGATATACCGGTACTTGTATTCAGCAATGCAAGGGGACGTGACCAAGCATGGGTAAGATGGACAACACAGAGGCTGCCGGCGTGCAGGAGAAAAGAAGAGCGGTGATATCAACAGTTATCGGGCCACCCACAGAGGCTGCAGGTGCCTGCAGATGAGCGGGAAAGACCGGAGAACACCTGCACTCAAGTATAAGCCGAGGGGTGCTTTTTCAGCATAAAAAATGTGCTGAAAAACTTGGCTTATATACGAGTATATATGGTAATCTCAACATTCCAAACTTGACTGCCAGCCCCAAAAAGGGTTATATACCCTTTTATTAAAATAATGTATGATTCTTTTTACTTGACTACCAATTTTATTTGCTGCTTCTCTCCACCCCCCCCCCCCCCGCCAATGTTGCTGTTCTTATTCCTTTTTAATAGGAATCCAAAGCCAGGAGTAGATATTTGTGACAAACAGTTGAGCAAAAAGGTAACAAATGTGAAGTGGAGACACGCTTCAGAAAAGGGAAAGACTGGTGGAAGAGCAAGAATTTGTAGTGAGGGTGAAGAGGCTTATGGTTTCCCCACTTTCCCCACTCAAACTTAGCTCTGCTGAAGAAAAAACAAAACAAAATTTCTTTCAATTGAAGGCAGAAGAGCCTGGGAGAGACAAACAGAACTGTCAGGTGCAAAAGATAAGTTCCAAATGTGAAGGCTCAATTTAAATGATTTTTAAGTTATTGCTAAAAGCCTATCCACATGAATCTTCTCAAATAATGGTCAGCACCTGGTTATAGTTAGATAAGACAAGTCAATGTGTCAGGGTAATCATTTTTTTAAAAAAATTTGATTTATATGCCGCCCTTCTCCGGAGACTCAGGGCGGCTTACAATGCGTTAAGCAATAGCCTTCATACTTTTGTATATTTATACAAAGTCAGCTTATTGCCCCCACAAATTGGGTCCTCAATTTACCTACCTTAGAAAGGATGGAAGGCTGAGTCAACCTTGAGCCTTGGCGAGATTCGATCTTACTTTAATTGCAGACAGCTGGTGTTAAATTACAATGCTTCTGTCTGTTGAGCTAAACCAGGCTCTGTCTGTTGAGCTAAACCTTTAAGAGCTGACCAGCTGCTGCAATGATGTAATAATGGGAATGAATCAGCAAGGTTTTTGGGCTGATATCACTTTAAAAGCCTGTAATAAGAAGAGGCCCTAGTGGTGTTTATCTCTCTCTCCATGTGTGCTTCCATGCTGTAATTGCTGATTGCTGTTTGTGTGAAGTCTGACTAAAGTACATGTATGTATATATTCATTGTAGATAAAACCACTATTTAAATACAAACCTCTGTTTACTATATTTGCTCCAGGTTTGTCTCACATAGTCCAACTGTGTGCACTCTGACACAATTTTTTTCTGGATTATTGATGTTGATGCCAGTGTTTTTTTTTTTAAAAAACAACAATCAATTTAGGGAAACAGAATAATGAAGAATACTAGAAAACTTGATAACTGGTCAAGATATCTTAACATATTTAAGAAATCAGGCTGTACCACTGTTATCTGGAAAATATAACAAAATGGAAAACAAAAAATACACCAGTAATTTTACTCTTTATTATTAGATCAAAGCAAATTCTCTCTTCATTAGATAAATTGATGAGATTTGAGATAAGAGAGCCCAGTAACTGTATAGGATCACACAGACTGATCCTGTTACATATACTGCATAACATATATTAATAATATTTATTAATAATGCATATTAAATCATATATACTTATAGGTTTGTGTGTGTGTGAGAGAGAGGGAGAGAGAGGCGGAGAGAGAGAAGGTAAATCTGTATCCGAGTTTAATCTATTTATGCAGGTCATGATTTCTGCTGGTAATAAAGTATATGATAAATGTGTATATTGCAGGGATAGATAATGTGCTATGCATAGAAAAGCATATTTTATATACATTTTGGAACTGTCTAGTTAAAACCCATTTTGACCAATGTTGTGAACTGATTAATGAAAAAATTGCCTAACTCAACCCAACCCAACCCAACTTGAAGAACTATTATTTTGATCCCTTTAAGATTTGATTAAAAATATTGGAGCTGACATTGAGGTAAATCTGTTCATGGTGTATTATAGCAAACTGGAAGTAAAATTAGAGTTTCATCAATAGCTGAACATGATATTGAGTTGTATCTTTTGATTTCCATTCTGTTATATTTTCTAGATAACATGGTATAGAAAAATGGGCTTTATTTCAAAAATTCTGAAAAATATGTATTGGGAAAATATTCTAGCACTTATTTTCTTATTCGGATGCAGACTCTTTCCTTTTGTAAATTTAATTACAGCAACATGAAGAAAAAAAGTTGCTGTTTTACACAGAGAGCAGTGCAACTAAAGAGGAAGAGAGAAGAACAATAAATAAGGTGACCAGATTTTAACATTGGTAAAGAGGGACATTGTGGGCGTGGCTTATTTTGTGGGCATGGCTAGCTGGTCATGTGACTGGGTGGGCATGGCTAGCTGGTCATGTGACCGGGTAGCCATGGCTATGTGTATAGGGTAAGGTGAACAGATTTTAACATTGGTAAGAAGGACACCATTGTGGGCGTGGCTTATTGTGTGGGCGTGGCTTGGAGGCCATGTGACTGGGTGGGCGTGGCTAGCTGGTCATGTGACCGGGTGGCCATGGCTATGTGTATAGGGACTACTCAGAGGGCTGAAAAGTCACTTCTGACAGGTCCTCACACTTTTGACTGGTCCTCACACTTATGACCATCCTCACATTTATGCCCGTGCAGCATTCTTAACAACCATGTCACTCATTTCACAACTGCTTCTCTTCACCATGGTGACAAGATAGGGCAAAAACGTAAAATGTGAGGACAGTCGTAAGTTCGAGGACTGGTCAAAAGTGCGAGGACCAGTCAAAAATAACTTTTTCAGCCCTCCGAGTAGTCCATGTGCACAAAAGGACTAACCAGAGGGCTGAAAAAAGTCATTTCTGACAGGTCCTCGCACTTTTGACTGGTCCTCACACTTATGACCATCCTCACATTTATGCCCGTGCAGCATTCTTAACAACCATGTCACTCATTTCACAACTGCTTCTCTTCACCATGATGACAAGATAGGGCAAAAATGTAAAATGTGAGGACAGTCGTAAGTTCGAGGACTGGTCAAAAGTGTGAGGACCAGTCAAAAATAACTTTTTCAGCCCTCTGAGTAGTCCATATGCATAAAAGGATACAGTAATAGAGAAGGATGAAGGAAGGGAAGGGAAATTAGAGTAGGAGTGACGGTAAGAGAGGGAGGAAGAGAGGAGGAGAAGGAGAAAGGAAGAGGAAATAGGGAGGAGAAGAAGAGGGTGGGGGGAAGAGAAAGTAAGAAGGAAAGAAAAGAGAGGTGGTAGGTTTGAGGAGAAAGATTGCTGTACAATAAAAAAGATGAAAGGGAAGAAAGCCAACCCCAAACAAATATAAAGATATTAAGATAAAGAATGAATTGTTAAACTTTAAAGAATAAAAGAGAACAAATATGAATAAATAGCAATAATTAGAAACACACATACAAACATACAATGTATTTTCTTTGAACAGAATATTTGGCTGGTTCACAAATTTAAACAGTGTTTAGTCATTTCAATTAAATTTACAATTTCTATATTTCCTTTTTGCCATATTTATTCCTCATCTATTTTTTAAAGAAAACAATATTACCCTTCATCCTCATCTCTAATCTTAATCAAATTCAATTTTTCCCTTCTATTCTATATTATACCCCTTCCCATTGTCATCTATTTTTATATCCATCCTCACATTGGTTAATTATGTAATTATGTAATACAGTTGTTTAATACAAATTCAACATTTTAATATAAATCAATTAGTTATATAACTATCTTTTTTGTATATTAATCAATATGAACATGAATTTTCCAATTATTTCCATGCAATCCAATTTCTTACAAATCAATTAATTATATTTACCAATAATAATAAACCAAATAATTTCCCCCATATATTCCTCCAAACCACAACTTAACCATTTCTGCTTTCAACACAGTATACAATTAATAGTATCTCAATTATTACAATTCCCTAGTTAAAAAGAGCTTTTTTTTCTTTTGTGTTTTAAAATCTTGAACTCTCCTCTTTTGCCCTAAATAATTTCCCATTGTTTACACCTACCTTTTTTGGTGAGGAAAAGGAAAATAAATCTGCTGCCTAATTTTCCAACTTTGCAAGCAAACAGCAAAGCCAACAGCCTGTTTTACTTTCAGTTTTGTTTTGAGCTTGGTTTGCACAAAGAGAAAAAAAAAACTGCTGAGCAATTTAGCAAGAGCAGAGCCCTGCGCAAATCAGCTGAGAGGGGGAAGCCGAGCTAATTAGGGCGGCCCCGCGGCAAGAGTTTAAACAGGTTTTTTCCCTCTAGCCATCAGCTGGGACTCAGGAAGCAGCCGGGACTTAGGAGGCAGAATGAAAAATCGGGACTTTTTTAAAACGCCATGGGACGCGGGACAAATTGCTCAAAAGCGGGACTGTCCCGCCAAAAGCGGGACGTCTGGTCACCTTAACAATAAAGGAAGCAAAAGGAGAAAGAGAAGGAAGGAAAAAAGTAGGCATGAGAGTTTCTAGTAGATGCCATTGTACTTCCCTGAGAATCTATGTTAGCTAAAAACATTCATAGTTAAACGGGAGTGATCTGTATGAAAAGAAGGGAGAATAAAAGGAGAATTTTTGGCATTTTTAAAAAGACACTCCAAGTTGCAATCTGAAGACTCCTCCAGCAATCTCACTGATGCTGCATATATACTGAAGTTATTAGTACAGCTCAGAAACAAAAAATCCAAACAAACGAAAAAAACCCAAATAGGACTGAAAAAATAATGGGCAGAAGAGCTGATAGTAAGTTGAAGGGATCAATTGACAGATGGTTTCTGACTTGACATTTGATAGGTTGCTCCCGACAAACCTAACATTATGCTACTGTTTCTTCTTTGTTTTATCAGGAAGCTGATCTTCAGATACCTTACAGATTCTGAGCTAGGAACATCAAAACTGTCTGCCCCAGATTTCTGTTTATGTGAAATGACAAAAATTTTTTTTTGGTATGAGATGAAAATGAAAGAAATTGTGCTATATTTGGTCATTCCAGGAAGTGCTGAAGAATTTTTTTTTTAAAAAAAGCCTTTTTGTAGAACTCCCCCATTAGCTGTGATGAGATTTTTAAAGGACAAAGCTTATAGAGAGGCCTTTACCCCCCCGCCCCGATCGATTTGAAAAACTAAATGTAATTCTCATCCACACTTATGTGGTGTGGCAAAGTTTTATTTTGTCAAGAACAGAAGAAAGTCAGAAATTGGGACAAAGAACTGCTCAGACAAAGGAGGCTTCTAGAATGAAAAACTTTTCTTCCTTCCATCCTTTCCTATGTCTGAAGAGCTTTTTCTTTTAAAAGTGTGTTGTCCATTTTGTGAAATTTGCTTCTAAACGGCTTATGAGGCCCATTTCTAGTAAAAGCTTGGAAAACAATTTTACTTGAAACAACTACAATGTTTTTATTCAAATTTAGTAAATTCTGCTTTGTTCATTGTTGTTTTACCGGTTCTTAAAATGTGTTGTCAGTTTTTAGGAATCCAAATATAAGCTCTTTAGTGGTTCCTTTATGGGTAAATTGCTGGTACATAAATCTGAAATTAAATGATACGGATCATTTGAAAGACTCAGTCCTTCCCTCCCTCCCTCCTTCTCTCCTACTCCCCTCATTTGTATTAGAAACTGAACTGCATACTCCTAATCTGGTTTTTCTTTTGCAGAAATGCTTTCTCAGTATGGAAGATCTTCTAATCAGGTCTGCCTAAATAGCTGTGCATATTTTAATATGTGCTGTGTTTGGGTAGTTAGACACTTCAACAGAAAGATTTTTGTCTGACTGGGAAGATCATATAATCTTCCTATCCCTCTGTCCTACCTCTGTGAAAAGCAAGCTAAATAAAGCCTGTTTGCTGAATTCATGGTGCTTTAGAAGTATGCTAGAGGAGGATGTAAGTTGGAGTTAATAACATTGGGCAGATTTGAATGCAGCTTGCTTTTGCCAAGTATGCATTTCATCATATCCATAGAGACACTGGGTTGAATTTTTGAAACCCCAAAAGGGGAGTGAAGGGAGATACCTTGTTACTTTAAGTACCATGTCCTCAGTGGTGGGGTTTCAAAATTTTTTACTACCGGTTCTGTGGGTGTGGCTTGGTGGGCATGGCATGGCTTGGTGGGCATGGCAGGGGAAGGATACTGTAAAATGTCCATTCCCACCCCAATCCAAGGGAAGCTTAGTGTAAAATCCCCATTTCCTCCCGATCAACTGGGACTCAGGAGGCAGAGAATAGATGGGGGTGGGGCCAGTCAGAATTTTTACTACCGGTTCTCCGAACTACTCAAAATTTCCACTACCGGTTCTCCAGAACTGGTCAGAACCTGCTGAAACCCACCTCTGCATGTCCTAAATTGCATATTTTATGGGGCAGAGTGTATAGGTATACCTGTGATGGCACTTTAGTACAAAATTGTCTTCTGTCTGATCAGGGATGATGGAATGGCCTTGAATGCAAAAACAACAGGGGGGATAGAGCTGTAAAATTTGCTAATCTTTAATTTTCTAATGTTTAATACTTTTTAGTTTGGGACAGGCTTCTCCAACCTGGTGTCTTATTGATAAGATTACAAATCCCTAAAAATTGCCACTTGGCCAATGTGTGGTCGGAACTTCTGGGAGATATGTGTTTGATGAAAATGATTGAACTTGCAAAAATGGCAACATTGACTTGTTTTATTAGGGAAAAGACTACAATTACTGGTACATTTATTAATGACTAGAAGCCCTTTATGGACTTTTTGTTGAAAACAGAAAGAAATGAACTGGTGATTTATGAATTTGATGATTTTTTTAAAAAAATCAAGGCTGCCAAGACATCACCGCATTGTCACATTTATGACACTTTGTAATAATAGCACTTTGAAATAATGGTATTGTAACTGAATTTTTAGGAGGGAGAGGCTGGCTTAAACACAAGAGCCAGTTAGGCAAGGTTTTGTATTGATGGGGAAATTGCCTGCTCGCTAATTTTGTACAGCAATAATATTTCAAATGGGAAGAGTTATTTGAAGCAATTTCAAATGCATAACAGATAAGCTAGAAATAAAGATGCACAGTTTCAGAGCTGATTCTGAAGCAATTCCAAGACCTTGGTTGAAAGCATCCAGAGTCCCGTTAGACTTGTTCTTAACTTCTGGGGTTTTATTTTAGGTAGGTTTAGAAACTTCCATATGCCTTCTTTTTGAATGTCTGTTACTATCTCGTCATTATTAATATTTATTTCCATGCAATTGAGCATGGAAATAAATCATGTCCATGTTCTGTGCCTTTATTTTATTGATAAATTTCCTAATTTTTGGCAATGTTTAAATGAGTTTAATTCCCATTATCTTAATAAAAGGCTAAGAAAAACGTACATCAGAGGCTTTTTGTAATGACTAGCTATCAATATAGACAATCAAAGGTTGTCTGGGCTAATTTTTTAGAGACGGCATATAGAGTATCTCAGTCTATGTAAACACAACAACAGTATAATTTTCCCAGTTTAATTGAAGCAATTGGAACAAATGTTGAAAACGTAATAGATTTTTATATGTCTTTATGCTTTCAGTTATTCAGAGGCGGTTTTGGAAGTGCTAAGTTGGCAAAGTCAAATTTCATTAATTTTTCTCTCAATTTTGTAGAGGGTAGAGTTATTAGCCACAATAAGTCAAGAAAGTTTGTTCCATTTTAAAACTATGAATATTGCAAATGAACACCTAGCCTGGTTAATAAAGCAGCTCTAGTTCTACTTGGGAAATGAATGTGCTTTTTTTTGTGTTAATGTTGTTTAAAGTCAGAGTGATTGTACAATTCTATGAAAATAATTCATGAGTGTCATTAACTCATCAAAATCAGTAGTTTTTAAAACAGAGAGGGCCTTGGCTAAACTAATGAGATAAATAAGATGCACAGCATAGAATTACAATTTTTAACATATATCAAATGCATTTTCTGCCTCCTCCTCCTCACCACTCTGTGGATCTAATAAAATTAAACAGCAGTTTTAAATTACCCTCCACTAGTAGTTTAATATTTTAAAAACATTTTTCAATTCCTCTTCATGCTAGGATCATAATGTGTTCAACAGTGCCCTGGGACCTGAACTCTTTTTGAGGCTGTGCTTTCAAGTGGCAAAATGCTTGTGGAAGAGCTTGGGATGTTTAGTTTCACTCTTTTGACTACTCTCTCTATCCGTGTATGAAATAGGGAAGTTGCAACATTTCTCCAGGGAAGACAAAAATACTTGATGGTTCTATATTTTCTTGCTTGGATACACTGAGATGAACTTTTTTTGTTCTTTTGCACATGAAAACTAGGAGCTAGACTGAGTAACTCCTGTTTGGAGAGATTTATTTTTAACCGCCTTGAGCTGTTAGTGGTGGGATAGCCTTCTCCAATTTAATGTCCTCCAGATGTAGTCAGACTTTAAATCTCAGAATTCCAAGATATTATGATGGAATTTTAATTCCAATATATTTAGACAATGCCATATTGGAGAAGTTTGCCCATGATTTTCAGTCATGGAAATAAAAATAGTGGCTCTCATCCTGGTATAGAGGAGTTCATTCTCACATTGTCCCTGTCTTGGCCAAAATAAAATTTTGCTAACTTTAATCCCTAATGTATCAACTTGGTGAACATTAAAACTCTAACTTTATTTGAAGTATCATGACAGCATTAAATTGGACTCATTTTCATTAGAGGACCAACTGTAACCGACCATCAGGTTGATCCATTTTTATTGACTTACTTTATCTTCTGGGTGCCCATTAATGGTATCAAAGAGATCTTGAAATTGTATTGGATAAATTAATTAATTTACAGAAGAAGCTTTAGCTCTAGTAGTACAAAAAGACAGACAAAACTTTCTGAAACTTTAAAAATAATTGTCTAGTTATCAATGTAAATCCTAAGCTTTTCTACTTGGAACAATGTCTCATTGGGTTCAGTAGCATTTAATCCTGAGTAGATAGGCTTAGTAAAAATCTGGGCAATAGTTGCTGGTTTAGAACAGAATTAAAAATTAGGCTTTGAGCAGTCCATGTCTGCATCTGAATCTCTTGATTTATGAAAAATTACAGACGTTTTTGAGGAACGAACTGTATTGATGGCATGGTGTACATTATTTTTTAAATAGTAGTACGAGGAGAGGAAACTAGATAAGGAATATATTTTGTGTGAGTATATGATGGAGCTTCTTCAGTGGGGGCTGCCTTAAAGCAATCTTATTCCAATTCTTAACTCAAAAATCCACTACAGAATATAGTTTTCGTTTAGTGACATAATTGTGACCAGCAACTCAGTTGTTAAGAAAAGTGACTGCTAAGTGAAACTGTGCCTGTTTTTATGATGTTACTTCAGCTTTCTTTTGCTTTACAGATCTGCAAAGGTCATACATGTGAGAATTGGTTGCAGAAATTACTTTTTCATCATTCTCATAACTGGAAACAGCTAAACAAAGGCTACACCCTAACCCTAAATCAGGGGTCCCCAATCCCTGGGCTGCATTCCAGTACCTGGTCGTGGCCCATTTGGAACCAAACTGCGGAAGCAGTAGGTGAGAGTGCTTGTGCACAGCTCCATTTGTGCCAGTGGCGGGTGTATGTGCCCACTGCTTGTGCAAATGGAGCTGCACATGCACATGAATGCCTGCCCCTCATGCAGAACCATCCCCTCTCCTCTCCCCCTGCCGGTCTGCAAAGCCAGAAAGACTGGAGACCATTGTCCTTAACAAAGAATTCCTTGTGTGTCAAATCACACTTGGCCAATAAAGTCCTGTTCTGTTCTGTTCTGTTCTGTTCTGTTCTGTTCTGTTCTGTTCTGTTCCGTTCCGTTCCGTTCCGTTCCGTTCCGTTCCGTTCTGTTCCCTTCCAATGCATTCCATTCCATTCCATTCCATTCCATTCCATTCCATTCCATTCCATGGAGAGGGACATAGGTTTAAAGTCTTCCTCCCCCACACATAGTTCCTGCCCATTTTAACAACTACAATTTATAATGTCCATCACCAGAATCATATTGGTTGGAAATTGTTGCCCAACATTTGGGAGGACCAGAAGTTCCCCATTTCTGTGATTTCTATATGGTTAGCTCCACAAGTAGTCAACCTAATTCACTCTTTAAAATCAAATGGATAATTTGTGCAGTAGTCTTGAAACTCGATTAGTCTATCACACGATTCCTGTTATCTGCATTCATTTACAGATAATTATAACACTACTTTTAAGTGAGAAAAGCATACTTTCTTTGTATTTGGAAGTTACATACCAAAATAATATCAAATTCCACTTTAGGACACGTAAATCCCTCCTGTGTGAACCTGACAATGTAAAACTTCATTGGAATAGAATAGAATAGAATAGAATAGAATAGAATAGAATAGAATAGAATAGAGAACTGGAGAACTGGAAGCAGAAATTTTGAGTAGTTTGAAGAACCGGTAGTAAAAATTCT